GTCTCACATTAATAAAATAAGAAAAAATAACAACTTATAAAACACAAACATACTTCAATGATTGATAGGCTTTTTGGGTGATGATCGAAAGTAAAATCGTGAGGGCTTAGGCCTAAAGCGGATAATATCTCATCATTGTGGAGTTGTGTATAAAAATAACCCTTATAAAATATTCCCTTAGACACAAACATACTTCAATGATTGAGAGACTTTTTAGGTAATGACCAAAAGTAAAACCGTGAGGGTTTAGGCTTAAAGTGGACAATATCTCATCATTGTAGAGTTGTGTATAAAAATAACTCTTATAAAATATCCACTCAGACAAATGTCATAAAATAATTGTGAGGGCTTAGATCTAAAGCGGACAATAGATCCAAAGTGAACAATATCTCATCATTGCGGAGTTGTGTATAAAAATAACCCTCATAAAATATTCTCTCAAATACAAACATACTCCAATGATTGAAAGACCTTTTAGATGATGACCAAAAGTAAAACCGAGGGTTTAAGCTCAAAATGGACAATATCTCATCATTGTGGAGTTGTGTATAAAAATAATTCTCATGAAATATTCCTTCAGACAAATACCATAAATTAATCGTGAGAGCTTAGATCCAAAGTGAAAAATAAATCTAAAATGGATAATATCTCATCATTATGAAGTTGTGTTTTATAAACCCATCATCAAGAAAACTCTTAAAGCATTTGGGTTCCTGGAGATTATTATATCTCTTATTATGCATGAGATTTACTCTACGAAGATCTCCCTGCGTTGGAATGGAAGCCAAACTGATTATTTTGCTCCGACTAATGGACTTCGACAAGGGAATCCCTTATCATCGTATTTGTTTGTCTTATGCATGGAAAGACTTGGTAGAATATGATCACAAGGGAAGTTGATGATGGTCGTTGGAAGCCAATTTAGCTTACCACAATATCTCACTTTTATTTTTGGAAATGATGTGTTATTGTTCGCTAAGGCGACATTGCAACAAGGGCGTGTGGTGATAGGCATTTTAGATGCTTTATGTGCGATGTCTAGCATGAAGGTGAATGTGTTCAAGTCTGAAGCCTTCGCTTCTAAAGGTGTGGTAGAGGGCAGAAAAGATCAGTTATAGGAAATTACTAGAGTGAAGTTCAGAACCTAGTTGGGGAAATATCTGGGCTTCCGTATTTTTCATGAAAGTGTAGTGGAGCAAATTTTGCTGGCCTTATGGATAAGGTGAACTCAAAACTTAGTATGTGGAAGAGTAAGTTGTTGAATAAACCAGGCAGGGTGACGTTGGCAAATGCGGTCCTATTCTCTCTCCCCGCCTATGGGATGCAAATTCTGTGGTATCCTCAGTCCATCTGCAATTTTATAGATAGATCAATTAGAAGCTTCATTTGGAAGGAGAGTAGTGGCAAGGTAGTGCATATGGTGAGGTGGGACATGATGAAACTAGCGAAAAAGCTAGGTGGTTTGGGTCTTCATGCAACATGACAACAAAATATTGCATTGTTAAGGAAGTTGGTGTGGGATTTGTTAAGTCCTTCAAACCAGTTATGGGTCACCCTTCTATAAGATCGTTACATGTATAAAGGACACATTCTAGGTAGTATCTAGAAACCAAGCTCTGTCACATGGATGGCAATTATGAAGGGTTGGGCGGTGTTGGAAGAGAGGTTTCAGATAAAGTTGGGGAATGACCACTCTCAGTTTTGGCATAGCCCTTGGCTGTTGAAAGAGTCGCTTGCGTTAAGTGTCCCGTGGTTTGACATTCATAACTCAAGGCTAGTAATGAGAGACCTTTGGCCAAACGAGAAATGGCAACTGAGTTTGTTGTATACAACGCTTCCTCCTTATATTGTGGAACGTATTATTAAGATTGTTCCTTGTTTTGTAGATGGTTTGTCGGATGTGTGGTTGTGGCAACATAGTGTGGAAGGCAAATATTCCACCAAAACAGGGTACAAATTTCTCATGAAGGAGGAACAACAGTGCAAAGGGGGACGAGATCGTTGTGGATTTGGACAACTAGAAACAAACAAGTGTTTGATGGTTAAGAGGAATGCTTCTCGAAGTCACATGCGAGGGTGTAGTCACTGGTGTGTCAGTCGGGTGTGGCTTTTGGAAATCAAGGTATTTTATCTATTGATCATAGGCTCGTGTCTTGGGAGAAATCGAATGTGGGCACAGTTGCTTTCAATATGGACGATAGTGTTATGCGAAACCCTTTATCAGCAAGTTATAGAGGGTTGTGTCGGGACCACATTGAAAATTTTTTGGTGGGTTTCTACGGTTGTCTAGGGAGGCATGAAGTCCTTTATGCAGTGATCACAACTTTGTTAATTAAATGGCCTAAGGCTTTGTTGGGATGTTGGATATCGTTAACTGGTTTGCTTTTTGAATTCTCAATTAATCAGAGATTGGTAAGTGAAACCCTAGTCCTGCATGTTGTAGCATACACTCCGTGAGGGCAACCATTGTACTAACACTCTAGCCAAGATAGGAGTTGCTTCAGTAAGTTAGCTTGAAGTTATACTCGAACCACCATTAGAGTTGTTGCTGCCTCTTCATGTAGATAGGATGGAACAAGTTTCTCGAGAGTTTAACTTCTTTGTAGTCCTTGTTATTTTTCTTATTTTTCTTCTGTTTTTTTAGCTCTTATTTACCAAAAAAAAAAGACTTAAAAAAACTTTAAATTATATGAATATGTAAATAAAAGAATTTTAGTTGCAAAAAATTATAAATGCTTAAATCATAAAATAAAAAAATAAATACACACTATGATTTTAAATCGAAATTTAAAACTATATTATGACATGTAAAAAAGAAAACTTTTGTAAATATTTTATATACTAAAATTTATTTAAATTATAAACTGTTAATTTCTTCTTTTATTAGACAAGTGGGTTAAATAATTTCAAGATTTTCAATCAATTTTAATTGATAATAAAAAATCATTACTAGTCTAAGTTTTTTAATTATCAATAAATCAAAAATCATTTTTACATTATTTTAAGACTATTATAAATATCAATTAATTTATTATATATTTTTTATTTGTTATTACATGATATTTTCCTATTTCCACTTTTACAATACAATATATGTCATCCTGTAACATATGTAGAGACTGAATTTTATTTTGTTATAATATTATAAAAATAAATAAATTTGCTAAAATATGATATTTGAAAATATATTTATCAATTACTATTTATGTTGAGAAATTGATATCCCATCAATTAATTTTTCACCAATGTTTTTCATATTTTTATTTATTTACGCATTGAGAAATTGGTTGATTAGTCATCGATATCTCAATTGCAATTTTTTTATAATTTTATTTTTTTTAATATTATTATTTTTATATAACATTTATGTTCTTTTTAATCTATTAGGTTAAAAATTATTTAAAATTAGTTAATATATAAATAATTCATCATTTTTATTTTACATCATACATAATTTAAAGATACATAATTTCATTATACAATACAAATTAAAAAGTACATAGTACCGAAAAAATATTTTAAAAAATAAATAACATTGCCAAAATAAATAACTTCTATTCATGTTTCAAAATCAAATTCCTACCACATATCACACATAAGTCAAAATAAAATAAAATAAAATAAAAAACATTTAAATAACTTTTACACATTTTGAAATCAAATTCACAAACAATAATATGTCTACCAATATCATGTGTTTGAGTTAGATAGAACAATACACATTTTTTAGTACTAAGGATGTTTAATCTAAGAAGAACGACCGATTAAACAATTCACAATCATACGGGATGAAATGTAGTGCAATTGTTACAAATTTGTAAAATTACACATGTCTTACTCACATGTCATTAATTGCAACTTCTAAACATACTTACCAATTACCATAATTACATGTCTTACATATATACTTCTTGTTCACGCGTTAAAATACAACTCCAGTATGAACACAAGGTTGTTTGGAGAGTTGTACAACGAATAATTAATATCGGTTATAATGTAATGAAATACAAATATATCTCAATTCAAACTTAAAAAGAAACAAAAGTGTTGCCAAAAATCCTCTTATATACACACAAAAATAGATGAGGTAATCTAATTAATTGAAAAGATGTTCTACGTTTAGGAATCCAAGTCAAACCAAGAAAAAAATGTTTTTATTGTGTGAAAACTTATTAATAACTAATTTCTATAAAATATTTCATTATTATAACATTCACTTTGTTCTTAATGTTATTTTGATATAACAATTTCATATATTGTTTAGAATCTTAATTTTACTTATTATAATATATTAAAATATTTATGAAAAAAACATTTCCATTTTCTATAATGTATTAATTTTACTTACTATAATATATTAAAAATATTTATGATTTTTTTTTTATTTTCCTCTTATAAATTATCAACCACATTACAAAATTATTAGATATTATTAAAAAAAATATTGCATTTATAATAGAAACAAACATACTGTTAAAATAAAAAATAAAAATTAATTTATAAATTAACTAATTTTTAAATTAATAAATTGAATATAAAATACATATTACATAAATAATAATAATATTACAAAAAAAGGCAAATTGTAAAAAAAAATCTGCAATTAAGAAATGGATTACTGACTAAACAATTTCTTAGTGCAAAAATAAATTTAAAAGAAAATGAAAAACTAAGATGAGAAACCAATTTCTCAACACAAATAATAAACTCAACTTTAATAAATATATTTTAAAACATGATATTCTGGTAAACGTATTTTTATTTTGTAATATTATAATAAAAAAGTCTGCAAAGAGTACCCATAATGTGCTGCTGTTCATTTGTTCTTCATGAGACTTCTTTAATGTATGCATTTTCGGGCTATATATATATATTTTTTTTTCAAAAGCTCTATAAAGACCTGAAAAAAATTTCAAAATAAACTAATCTATACGCACTGAAAAGTGCTAAAATTGTCTTTCTGATCTGTCGAACATGCACAAAATGGTAGTCAAAAAAAGTGAAAAGACTAAACATTCTAATACCCGATTATGTAGAACACTAATATCAAAATTTCAAAACTGATAGTGAAAGCAAATGCATATGGCGCTTCCAAGATATTGTAGAGAATTCATCAAAGACCAATCAATCACTGCCAACTCAACCACGTGTCATTGCCAATCATGTTATGATAAAAGAACAAAAAGACATTATCAAATTAATCTCCCATCATATCATCACTTGCATCTATGTCACTGACATGATCCAATACTGCTTCTGATTGTTCTTCATCTGTGTTATTTTGGTCAGTTTCCATGGCATCCTCAGATTCTTCATCACTTTCCTTATCCTCAAAGATAACTGGTCCTATATCATCTTCATCTTCCTCGTCTATAACCTGTTCCGATAGAAACCATTAATAAACACAAGTTCATCACAACTTCTGTAACCGTAGACAGCATAAAGTGGCTTACCCCTGTGTATAGGATGTCTAAGCAACTCGAGAGTTGGATGGCAGATTTAAAAGTGGAGACTCTAGACTCAATTAGCTGCACACACAAAAATAAAGGGATCAAATAAGGAAAGAACACTAATTGAGCAAAAACATGGTCCACAATTGTAGGTCTTTCTACAAGCATTAAACTTCTCAAGGGATTTTGTAGCTCCCATGTCTTCAATAACTGAATGCAATGCAGCTCGAGTAATATTATAAAAGAAAATAGAAGTTTAATGTTAATTGAGTGATAATGCAGACTTAAAATAAAATTTCAGATGTATCTGAAGCTACTTGGCCAATAGCCAATCCTGGTTTCAACACCATATGTAAAGGAAACATCAAACATGAATTGTATTTATGAAAATTGATACATACAGACATACATATACATACATATATATATATATATATATATATAACAATAATCCAACCAATTCACTAAAACTCCATTGGAGATACTTGTCACATTGTGGCAGATTCACACATAGCAAAAGCTCGTGCTTTGCAGTTAAATAGATAGATAAAATTTATTTCTTAAGCACAGAATGAAAATATGAACTACACACATAAATGATAGTTTAGAAGACAGACATAATAAGTGCTTATCCAGTGGATTCATCGTAAAAAAGCTCACTTGATACAAAGTGTTCAAAGCTTTAAATGAAGATTCCTGGGACATTATTCCACTTGCATGCTGTAGAAGTAGACACTTCAACCATGGAAGAGCACACGACAAAATTGCACCCCTAAAACAAAAAGAAAGTAACTTCTATTTAGAATTTATCAGGAGTCGACGCAAAATCTGATAGCTAAAGAGTTATATTAATGATAACACAAGTACATAAGGAGTCAATTATGATTATCTGTTGGTTGCTGTTCAAGCTACTGTAGGTGGATATTGGATACTATTTGTGTTAATGTGGTGTCAATTTTGTAGCAATTTTTTTATATAAATATTTTATTTGTCTATTTTACTTGATAGCAGAAGTTTTTGACCAGTTTCCTTTCCTGTTAGATCATCTCTTTGCCCATGCTTTCTCTATCGATACCACTTAACTGTTATTTTTTATTGTCTTCCCCTCTCCCCACCCTTAAAAGAAGGAAAGGAGAGAGAAAAGAAAGAAATTTCAAATCAAGCGACCAATCATACAGAATACTAATACCAAATAAGTTAACTGTTCAGCACAAAAACACTAACAAGCATATTAAACATACTTTTACCACATCATTGTTATGATGTGTTACCTAGATTCAATAATGGATATAAGAGAGTGTAGAAGTTTGAGGACGTTTGATGGGTTCAACTGTGCAATTGACTTTCTAATAACCTGCAAAGAGTTACATCATGCATAGCATATAAGAAACTGAGCAAGTGGGTAATTTCCATTCAATTATACCTAAATTTCAATAGAAATAGGAGAAAAAGGGAACCTTCTCATCTTGCGTATACAGGCAATGTAGCAGAAGGGTGCGATCATCAGCATTTAATGCTTGCTTAAGCAAAACATGTACAGAGTCTGCACTTGGAGGGTTTGCTGAGAGAGAAGATACTTGCTCTTTATCACTCCTGGATTTGTCCTCTTCCAGCAAACTTAGACTAGCAAGTTTCTCTCCCATTGTTGGCTCATTCAAATCATCATCGAGAAGGACACCTTCAGCAGCCTCTGGTTGATCTACATTAAATGCTAGTACAAGAAATACCAATCAATTCTTAAACATAGAATGCAAATTTTTCAGAATGCTGATAGTACTGCTGCTCATGAATTTACATAAATCAACACATGAATGATTTAAGTAAACCTATTAGACCGAGACATGAATTTAAGGATATTAAATTGTCGAAGATCTTAGCATGAATTTTGCAATAAAAAATATACTCTTTTTTTTAAATCTTTATTAGCATTCAAATTTGTATAGGCTATACTAAAATTTTGAGTTCAGAAGTTTGTCATGCAAATCATATATGCACGCCAAAAGAATAGGAACTTTTCAAAATTCATGAACAAACAGCCACAAATAAAGTAATCTCAATTTCAAATGGAGCGCAGGACCTAGCAAATGAGATCCAAAACACAAAGATACTCAATGAAGTGGGAACAAGTATATTCATGCTAACAACTTAATATTATAACCCTTACCTAAATCAACCTCGTCAGTTGTGGTTGGAAGATCAGGATCAGATGCTGCTTGTCTTTTTTTAGTTTTCTTGCTTTCCATCGTTATTGCTGCATCCAGTTCCAAATCAGGGGAACATATATAGTTTAAAAAGTTTAGAGAACATGTAGACACAAACAAACTTATAAAGAAAAAAATCCAAATTAAAAACTCGTAACATTTATTCTATTTGGAATTTCATGAGTTCAACAATCTACGACAAACAACTTCCACTAGAGCAGTTAAAGTATTTTATGATTTTATAAAAACTAGAATCACCTAGAATTTACTCAAAAGGAAGCAAAAAGGACGGTGAAAGAAAGCTAAAAACATAATGATTCTGTCAGACCTTTGTCAGAAGGGCTGTCATGCCGCTGAACAGAATCCATCTCATCTCCTACAATTAATACTATATTCTCCCCTGAATTGCTTATATTTAAGACACTAAACTGTGGATGATCTACAGAGCCATGAGCCACAAGAGCTTTCATCTGTTTGTCTTCCTCTACAGCTTGTAATCTGGATGCAATAATCGAAGTGTGCCTTTCTTTTGAATTTTCATCATTTTCCTTATCTGTTTCAATTGGCTGTATCTGATCTTCGGAGGAGGCATTCAAATTCCATATATAAGCAGAACCTCTACCGGTAACTGCCAAAACAACTAAATCTTCTTCATTATTGCAACCACAGTGGCAGTCCAAAACTAATGGAGGATGCCTTATGGGAAGTGTTGGACCTCTACTCACATTTCCTGAATTATCACACTTCCAAACTTGAAGAAGTTTACCCTCAAAATCTGCTGTAACTAAATTTTTGGCATCATTGGATATAGAAATGTGCTGTACATTTACCTATTGAGGAATAAAAGTAAAATGTGATGATGCTTTTAACTTGTAAAGACAAATATTCATATCCAGAATAGATAATGAAGATTACCAAATCATTAGGGGACTTCAGAACCTCTTTCCCAATTTCCCAGTTTATAACCCGTAGTTTAGAGCTGACAATAGCTAAATATTTTTCATCTGGAAATTAAGTAAAATTAGCAGTGTCAATTATCATGCAAGAAGATGAATGATTATGACAGACCAAGTCCGAAATGGAATTAGTACTCACCATGTGAGAAAGCCAGAGAAGTGATGGACTTTTTTGAGATTTTAAATTCCTTTAAAACATCTCCTGTTTGAGTATTAACCTCATATGCCATCCCACTATGCCCAACAATGCGAAGAAGACATCCTTTATTTGCAAATGAAAGTCCGCCAATACCCCTGTATGATGACAAGAACAATGTATTACAGACTGGCATTTATTATCATTTCAATCTTGTATGAAAGCATAAAAATCAATATATGGATGTCCACGTGTGATAATATTAAGGAAATTAAACACTCTTTAATTTTAGATACAAGAACATAATTTGTGTATTAAATGTAGATTCGTATACACCATAGAGCAAAATAAACAATACAAATATTTATTCTATTTGTAAGTCAATGAACAACAACTTTTTCATCCTAGGTGAGGAGATCACACGACACCATCGGCTTTGGTTTAAAACCAAATTCTCAAGGATATTATTCACCATAATAATTTCCTCCAATATCCTTTTAGGTGCCTCAAATGTCCTTCATTGCAGTGTCCTAACTACCTTAACTGATTTTATGTCACCTTTTTCTCGATAGGTGTCATACTAGTATCTCCCTGTATAAAAGCATTATGAATCCTGTTATTTCTTGCGTGACCCCACAATCTATCTTACATTTATGTTTCTCCTACTTTTCTTTTATGGCCCCTTTAAGGCCCAACACATTCATCACCATAAAGTATAGCTAGTCGTATAGTAGTATACTAGTATGAGTTATGACAAAATAAGAACCCAACGAACAAACTCTAATAATATTTTATAACATTGATAAATACCCTCATTCACACACAGATGATCCAACAAAATAAGGGAGAAAGGCATGTCAGAAATGATCATTAAAATGTTCAATCTGAATGTAGTGGTGAACATGGAGAATATCCAGTGCAGTTGATCAACCATTGCTTCATTGGCTAGAGAAAATTCTTGGGTGGTTGTGAGTTCCAAGTCTCTTCTACATGGAACCAAACAGAAAGAGACATTGGTATGATATTTTTATATTTGGACCAAATAAAAAGTCTCAATTGGTCCACTGAACATACAATTGGTCTGCCAATAAATCTTTTCTAAGCGAGCAGCTCAAGTTTGTCCAAGACCACCAAAGTCAGGCATGACTTTTACATAATCAAAGTCAAACAACAATGGCTTTTTGTAAAATATGCCATGCATGGAGATTAGTAGGGAGACAACCAAAAAGCACCAACTTATATGGATAATTTTACTTTATTCTACAACATGACAATGTCTCGAGAACTTATACAATAATTTTTTAATTAAAAAAAGGTTATATAAAAATATGGTCTCTACACACCTAACATCATTTTTCGTCTTAGTCCCTATATGAAAAAACTCTACATTTAGTTCCTCCACGAAAAAATGTTTATGAATTGATCCCTCTTGTTCGCCAAAGTTATAAAAAATCATCTGGTAATGGTATTCTTGACCATATTTCATTTTAGTTTTTTTCGTGAAAAACTTTTACAAATCAATTTGGTTCTTACTTAAAAAATAAAAAATAAAAAAATAAAAAAAATAAAAAAAACTCTACATTTTGGTCGCTATACTTCACAAATCATTTTTCATTGTGGTCTTTATTTGAAAAAGAACTCTAACACCATTACAAATTTAATAAATAGTAAGGATAATCTAAATAATTTTTCATGTAGGTACTAAAAAGAAAAGGTTTCAGATATAAGGACTAAATTCATAATTTAACACAGAAAAAAAGAAAATGAAATGACAACAATACCCGGGATGGCTAGTAGTCAACTTTCTCTCACCAGTAGAAACATCAACAGCCAGAACGCTTCCATCAATTGAACCCAGAGCTAATAACAAAGTTCGTTGTTCTTTTCTACGCTAATTACATAAGTACACAATCCACATCAGAGGTGGAAGAAAGCCCGATTGCATCATAAAAGAGCATTATTGATTAAAAGAATTTGCTAAAATCCCATACTACCTTTTTCCCAATGAAACTACATGCAATACAAGAATAACGAATATCATGATCTTCATCTGATGGCTTCCACTCTGCTAACAAATGTCCAGTGTTTGTGTTCCAAATCTGAAAATCACAGGATGGTTTTTGTTATAAACCATTAAACCTAACAATCTTACATGAACCAAAGTAAGTACAATCACAGAATTCCACTATCCAACAATATTTCATAAGCAGCTGTAATGCATGTTGATCATTAGACATAATTTAGCTAACCTACGGTTGAAAGTAAAAAGTAAGTCCTTAATAAATCTCATCAGGTAACATTTAACAAAATTGGTCTTATGCAAATATCAAGTGAAGATTTGTAGGGTATAAATTGCTAGAGTAAGGGACAATTATGATATAAGGATCATGAATTCAAATTAAGAGTTATCTGTCATGGCAAAACAAAAAATGTAATTCAAAGCCATCCATACGAAAACTAATACCAAACATCAGATGTAGGCAAAAGAGAAAGGTAAATTTACTTTAGCAATCCCATTGGCAGACAGAATAGCAACATAGTCCCCATTAGGAGTGAAAGCAGTGAGGACATGTTTCTTCAATTCGTCCTTCTCCATCTTACTCAACCTTCTTCTTCTTCCAAGTAGGCAACTCTTTGCACACAAACAGTGAAGCGGCAACAGCACCTAAATAAAACACAAAGCCAGTCAGCACTAAGTAAAGATAATAACTTCATAGTTATACAAACCAACAGACCAACTGGGTCGCTCAATCGTAGCATAACAAACGACAAATAATTGAAATTTCAACTACCAGAACAAACAGGTGAAACAAACTCAATAAATCACAAAACTTCACAACTTACACGTTTCAAGACAACATAACCAAAGTTCACACACAACATACTCATAATCAAAGGGGTTTTAACTCTAAGGGAACAACATGGAAATAAGGCAGAAGAACTTGACGGAAATTTAATAAAATGAAAAAGAAAGAAGAGAAAGGTAAAGGACAAAGATGAAAAATAAAACATAACCTAAACAAAAACAAAGAAAAACCCGAAAGGAAAACCGATCAAAGGAGAATGCTTCTGATATGGCGTCTTCTGGCCCGAGGCTGCGGAGTAAAATAACTGAGGAAGCAAAAGGGTTTTGTTGGGTTTTGGGTTTTGGAATAAGAAAGACTCTTCAGGGGCATTTCCGACCTTTCGGAAGAAGATACTCAAATACAATCATATTTTTTATTATTATTTTTCTCAAATAAAAATCCTTTTTTTCCCTACCCCTACACGGCGTTCAAAATCAAAAGAAAAGTTGTGTTCGGTGAGTTCGGGTTTTCTTTCCTTGGTAGATTAGAATGGCGACATCCTTGTCAAACATGTTCTTGAAGGGAATCGCAAATCGTTCTCTCAGCAGGCCCGTAAGATCTTCTGCCCTTAATTTTTATTCATGTTTAACCATTAACACTAGTTTATTTCTCGCATCTATTTGTGTGAATTATAAAAAGTTGCAATCTTTACTAATTGCTGCCTGATGGGTATCGTTTGTTTTCTAGGTCTGGCTTGGACTTTTTTTATTTTTTGTAATTTGAATATATATTTTTTGGTCCTTTTACTCTTTTCTAGTTAATCTGATTAGGTTTGCTTAGATTGGCATTACAATCATTGTTGTTTTCTAACAATCTTCCTTTAACATTCTGGCAGTTAAATGGGTTGTTTTATTGCACGAGATATTCCACTAGTATGTCAAATGATTCGGACACGCATGATGACTTCAAGCCAGCTAATAAGCTTGATGGTTCCGGCATTTCTTTGACAAATGTTATTGAGCAGGTAAGGGTATATCAAATCAATATTTCACCGGTAAAATGTTTTTTTTTTTTTTTTGGCTTCTTGTTTTAATATGTTGAGTAATTTGTAACATGAACTTTTGGTCACTGTGATTAATATGTGCAGGATGTCAAGGATAATCCTGTCATGATTTACATGAAAGGTGTGCCTGATTTTCCACAATGTGGTTTTAGTTCGCTTGCCGTTAGAGTTTTAAAACACTATGGTAAGTTATATCAGCTTTTATTATATGATATGCTTCAAAATTAAAAAGTTTTTCTGTTTGCTGATATGTTTGTTCTTTTTGTTTCTCTATGGTGAAGTTGTATAAGAATTTTGTTGCCATCTGAATTCACATTACTTGATAACAATTCTATAACTTATAGTTATCATTATATATTGCCCTCACAGATGTTCCAATAAGTGCTAGAAACATTTTGGAAGATGTTGAACTGAAAAATGCTGTAAAAGCCTTCAGGTAACTTCATGCTTGTTGATTTTATATTCTTATTACACTCTGCTTCCTAACATATTACATATATATGACACTGAAAAAAAAGCACCAGACACCAGTAATCTACAGTTGTAGTTTATAGTCGAGAATTTTGATGGATGATAGTTTGTCATTGTGGTGGACCTCTCTCTGTATTCTATATAATGTATTATACTATTTTAAGCATTAACATTTGATCATTAATTATCAGCAGCTTTTGATACCAAGGGTGTGATTATACTTAGCGAAACCAAAAATTATTTTATCATTAACTATTAGCGGATCCTTGTGAGTTTGAAGGTGAGTTGAATTGAAGGGATTTTACAATTAATGTTTATGATAAATAGTCATCAGATCAAAATAGCAAACTTAAAACCTTTAATGCCAATGGAATTCGATGGATGAGTGCCCTGTCAATGAACTGAAAGTCATCAAGGTGAGTTTGAAGATCAAAATTTGTTCTACGTTTCTTTGTATTTATATGAATCTGAAACAATTGATTTAATAGTACCTAGTGAGTTGTTCCAGTTGTTATTTGTCTGTCCTTCCCTTAAACCCTCTAGACTGTGAAGTGTGAACATCTGAACCACAAGCCATATCAAATCTTTGGAAATTAGTCTGCCTTCAAATCTCTAGGCATTTTTGTGGTTATATGTCATTTTGTCTTTGCATTTAATGTCATATAATTGAGTCCATATTTGATTGGTTCTTAAGCATGGTACCACCACAAGTTTCAAGTTTAATTACTAGTTTCCTTTTAAAGTTTATTAATTAATAAATAAGGAAATTTATTGTTATGATATCCTTGTTCTTGCTGTCCAGTAACTGGCCAACATTTCCTCAAGTTTTCATTAAGGGAGAGTTTATTGGTGGATCAGATATTGTTCTCAATATGCACCAGGTTTGTTCCCGTTTAAATGCTTGATTTTTTTACTTGTGGCTTTTATCATGTACCGTACTGTTCACTAATATTTTATATTCATGTAGACTGGTGAATTGAAGGAAAAGCTTAAAGATGTTACTTCCAAGCAGTAAACACACACCTAAGGTGATGAAACTTGAAGAGAAGTAGTTTACATTAACTAGCTTTATATCAGTTATTAAGAGATGTGAACTCTTTGTACCTGAATTTCTGGATTATGTTCAAATAAGAAGTTTCAACTTTTCTGTATGTAAGCTTTTTCTCCCTCTTTGTGCCTTGCTTTAAGCTATGTTTGGGATGAACGAAGTGTAAGAGAAGAGAAAAAAAAATTGGGAAACTGAAGGGAAGTTGAAAAATATGGTGTGTTTGATATTAAGGAAAAGGAGGAAAGTGTGTAAATTTGTTGGGGACTCGTTGATAAGAACTTCTCTTCTAACATGAGGGAAAGTTCTTTGAATTAACATTGCTCTTCGTCGCCTCAGTTAATTACGCTTATATTTAAAAATAATTGGTCATGCTTATATATAAAAATGATTTTTATAATAAAAGTAAAAATAGTTGATTATGCTTATATATGTTTATATTAAAAATCAAGGTTGTCAAATTTGAGAGTCTACACAAATTCGTAGAATTTTCATAGACTCGACTCGTAGACTCGTAAGAGTCTACATAATATTAAAAGATATTAAAAAACATAAAAACAGTAGACCTGAAATTAAACAAACAGGGCTTTAAGATTAAACAAAAAAACCCAGCAGAGTGTGCTGGTTTAGGCAATCAAAACAGCACCTATAAATCAAAAAATGTGGCATAGGTGAATGATCCGTGCTGGATGAGCAAGAAAACATTACCACAAACAGCTCGTCGGAAGCTACAAGGACAGTGCCGGGTGGATAGAACGAAGTCGGACGGTGTTGTGGTGGGAGCTCGAATGTTGTTTTCGTATGAGGAGGGTGACCGGTGCGAGCAGGAAAATGTGACGAACAACTCGTTGGAAACTGCAGGGACACCGCCAGAAGCTGCAACGACGATGCCAGGCGGATAGAACGAAGTTGGACAATGTTGTTTTCAGGGACACTGTCGAAAGTTGCAACGACGATGCCAGGCGGATAGAATGAAGTCGGACGGTGTTGTTTTTGTATGCAGTAGAGGGAGAGAGATCGAAGAATGCAAAGTAGCCAAAGTGTTCTTTTCGTACGCGGCGGAGGGAGAGATCAAAGAAAATAGAGGAGCTTAGGAACCCTATCTGAAACGATGTCGTTTTGGGCATTTAGAGGGCAAAAAAGTTGACTCGCAGACTCGCTCTCAAACTCGCGATTCTGAGCGAGTCCACCTGAGTAATCAAAAATCGATTATGTTTGCAAGTTAACCAGTTTTGCTACCCTAGACTCGTAGACTCGTACGAGTTTACGAGTTAACTCGCGAGTTTGACAACCATGTTAAAAATAAATAAATGATTTTATAATAAATAAATATAACAATACTAAAAATCATTTTTATTTATTATTTTAAATAAAATTATTTTTAATATATAACTCACTTTGTTTCCCTTTTATAATTTTATTTCTCTTTTACCAAATAACACTTTTTTTTAGGTGAATAAACTTAACTGATATCATTCAAAATAAGAGGTGCAATACATGTTGGGATGAAATCAAAAACATGGGAGCTAGCATAGTGTCTTGACGCCCTAGCTAAGGAGTGAGCGACATGATTTGCTTGCCTCCGAATGAACCTGACCAATAGGTTTGGATGAGAGTTGAGTAGAGAACGACATCTATGTAGAGTGTGACCGTATTCTGAATAGTAGATGTTGGAGTTTAGGATGTCCTCCACAACTTGTTTGGAATCTGATTCTAGTATGACATGGGTATAACCTTGATCACACACCCATCGGATGGATTCTAGGAGAGTCGTGGCTTCTGCTTCGTGGGACGGGGCTACTCCGTAGAACCAGCCTGACTTGGCCTTGATGAGGGACCCATTTGCATCACGCAAACAAATTCCAAAGCCCACTTTGTTGTCTTCCTTAAATATGGCTACATCAACATTGCCTTTGAGGAAGCCCACTTGTGGGCGCGTCCAGCTACCAGGAGATATTGACTGTGTGGGAGGAGGATGATCCTTTGCTCGTGCATACTGCCATTCCTCAATCTTCTGCATGGCCTGGGAGATAGCAAGATGAGGAGGAGTAGTGGTGTTTGACCAGATCTTGTCATTGTGGCGCCGCTAGATACACCATAGGCTGACCACCATTTTGATTATGCTTTCGTGGCTGAGGCTATTCAACTGATGGTCGAGCGTCTCTTTAAAATCGTTGCCATTATTTATAGCGTGAGATATGAGAGTCCAAATACCAGAAGCATGCCAGATGGTTTGGGCTTCAACGCAGTCAAAGAATAAGTGCCATTCTTTTCAAGACCCGTGTTACAGTGGGCACAAAGAATAGTGCATGGCACACCTCGTTGTTGTAGCCGATAGCGAGAGGGTAAACAATCTCTTAGTATTCTCCAGAGGAAGATCTTCATTGTTTGCGGTAGCCTAAGTTTCCTTAGTTGCAGGCAGTTACCTGGTTCCCTAAGGGGTGAGTTGGAGATAAGTGACTCCCTGATATAGTAATACGCTGATTTGACGGTGTAGCTACCTTTTCTAGAGAGGTTCCAAGTGATGGAGTCCCGTTCGTGAAGGTGAGTGAGAGGTATGGCAGTTATTGCAGAGACATCTGACGGGGAAAACAACGAAGAAAGAAGCTCATGGTTCCATGTACCTGAATCTGTGTTAATGAGATGGGATACCAGTAGATTCTTAAGACCTAGTGGACTAGGTGAGGTCACATATGGAGCTGCAGAGATTCGCAACCAAGGATCCCTCCATACATGAATGTCTTGACCGTTACCTATACACCATCTCAATCCTCCCTTAACCACGGCCTGTGAAGCGTGGATGCTACGCCAAACATAACTTGGGTTGTGACCCAACTAAGCCCCCAAAAAGTCCCCTCTTGGGAAGTATTTTGCCTTGAAAATGCGAGTTAAGATAGCATCTTGGTTGGTTAGAAACTTCCAACCTTGCTTCCCTAGCATGGCTAAGTTGAAACTGTGGAGATGACGAAATCCCATTCCACCATGTTCTTTTCGCATAGATACCTTTTCCCAGTTTAACCAATGTATTCCATGACAAGCATTTCTGTTTGAACCCCACCAAAAGGAGTTCATCATCCTTTGTATTTCATCGTTGAGCGTGGTTGGGAGAAGAAAAGTGCTCATGCAATACGAAGGGATTGCTTGAGCGACAGATTTCAAGAGTATTTCCCACCCTGCTTTGGATAAGTACTTGCCCGACCAGTGGTTAATTTTCCTCCAAATCCTGTCCTTAATGTTGTTAAATATGGCCTTTTTCTTGCGACCAATCATGGAAGGTAGGCCTAGGTATTTTCCCGTACCCATACATTCTGTGACACCTATAATGTTATTGATAGCCTCACATATGCTCAAAGGTGTATTGCGGCTGTAATAAACTTTTGATTTTTGGAGGTTTATAACTTGTCCCGAAGCCCTCATATTGGTTCAAGATCTCCTTAAGTTTTGTGCTCTCTAATACTGATGCTCGGCAGAAAAGGAAGCAATCATCCGCAAACAACAAATGTGTTAGTTGAGGTGCGCCCCTGCAAATTTTGGTGCCATGTAGATCCCCACGAGATTCTGCAATAACACTTAATTTTACTTTATTTTTTATTTATTTCTCTATTTTTTTAATCAAATAAAGTATTAATGTTCTCGTATCATATACGAAGTAAATAAGAGTCCAGGTTGAACTTATATTTTCTTTTATTCATAGAAATTATAATGACAATAATATAATTTCGAACCCAGGACCAAGTGTACAATATCTTCACCTCCACTACTAGGTCAATTTCAATAATTTACGACTAAATTTATATGCATTTGAATCTAAATGTTGTCATAGTAAAAATTAAGAAATTGACTTAGGGCTTTAAGGGTATGTTTGTTTTAAAATTCATCCGTCTCAACTACTAATTAAACTTGATGATATATTGTGTTTAGGGGAAAATTAACTTCAACATAATCCACGTTAATTTGAATTTTAATGTCTTGATATTTTTGCGTTTCATATATTAGAAAGTGTAAATTGTTGTTTCAAAATTTTAAAACAGAAAATCAAACATACAAAACTTGTGAATGTGTATTAGAATACGTGTTGACCAGAGAAAACAAACACAATTAGTGCATGTTTGGATCTATTTTGATGATTTACATTCTCATAAATTCATCTCAAATAGGCCAAAATAATGTAAAAGCAAGTAACACTTGCTTCTACTTTATACACAACTGTAATGTTAAAAATCTCATATCAATAATAATATGGTCACAATATTGTATATAAAAAAAAGTAATTTTTACTTACAAGTCGATATCAGATCATTTATTATTAAACTATTAATTGATCACTCACATTATTATGATATTATTAATCGATATGAGATTGTTAATACATGATGAAGAGACGTCATATCAAACATAACAAATAGTTTGCAGGTTTCGTGGCTCAAAATTTCCATGCAACTATGCAAGCATTTTGTCCCTCCATCCCCGATAAAGGGAAAAGAAAAAAAAAGGAAAGGAAAAGAAAAGGGAGAAAGCATTTTGAAATTAAGAAATAACATAGCTTAGCTCCCTATATTGTTACAGTATATAAAACAAAATCTTTCCAACAGTACAGCTGACCCTGTCTCTGGGTACTATAATAATATTAAGAGAGACAACTACTTGGGAACACATTCAGATCTTTATTTCTCACCAACATAACTAAAGGAACCCATAAGACTAATCCTCCTATACCATACTATATATACCACCGAACCATTTCGTGATGTAGTCACTCGTTATTTTATATGCCTTGACTGATACTATGTTATTCATGAGGATCCCCCTAGCCCCAGCCTTGAGTTAAGCCAATTGGAAACCTCATCCATCTCCCTAGGAACAGTATAATGACCAAGCCTGCATCCAAAACGTGAAATAATTACTTATCTGATGTGTCATTCATTCAGAGTTGGTTATTTCTGCTGAAAAAAAGATATTTACCCATCATAGGATTTGAATGTAATGTATCGAAACCCTGCTGAATGAATGAGATCG